GCCACTACACAAGGCTCCTGTTTTCCTATCACTCGAATCTGTCGACAATCAACCGTTAGCAGTTTAGCTTAATCAACGCATTGTACCGAAGAAAAAGTGATAGAAGGGCGGGAACCCTGTTAGCGTAAGAGTTAGCATGCGCTTCAATGGTGAAGCGTGTTTAACTTTCAACTATGGACCGATGTTCTGAATTTCACTTCAGATTATTAAGTATATAAACAAATTAAAAGAGTTCTGAGACGATGTTTCTGAGGTCATCATATGATTCCAAGCCTTTCCTTTATGATATGTTGCAGGCCAACTTGTTGAATGTGATTCCTGTTATCGTTCCTTTCACGTCGATTGCTGTCCGGCTGGTTTTCAAGTCTATGAAGGTGTGCTGCCTGTGAGGACGAAGGACGGATACAACCTCAAGGTGTGATTTTTTCTATTCTATCTGATCTACAGTGATACTGAGTTTTCATTCTTTCAATTGTGCAAATGAGTTCTTCAATCCATCGTTCATCCTGACGTGTGTTGAAAACGTCCAAAGCTCGGCCTGATTAGAAATTACTCATTTTTTTCAATCGTAACCCTGACTCGTGACTGAAATCTCATACTCAAAATATCTTTTGTTTCTACTACTTTTTCATACTCAGAATTCCTTTTCTTTCTACTGCTTTGCTTTTACTGCTGTTATTATATTTCAAATACACTTAAGAGGAATTGAGTGGTAAGCAAAAACTTGATCTAGATGAGAAATGGACTTGCGTTTCATCCATACCCAGGGCGCGTGCTACCACTTCACCACCAAAAATAGCATTTTTTAGTAATAGGAGGTTGCCAATTATACGTTTTCACTATAGAATGAAATGGTGAACAAAAACGCGACCCTCAGACGAGAGTTGAACCCACGCTTCACCCATGCCAGGGGCGCATGTTACCACTGCACCCGAGGGACCGTTTCGACACCACCCGCTTTCGCCATGGGCAAAACGCAAGTTGAACGCCGCTTGTGGTCAAAATTTTGCTTACCACTCAACTCTAAGGTGAAAACTCATAGTTAGCTAAGATTTTTTTAACAGAAAACGCTGGCTTTCGGTGGTGAAGTATAGCGCAGGCCCCGCTAAGATTAGAAGGCGGGTCTAACTCTTGCTGGGGTCGCATTTTTGTTCGCCCCTCCGCATCCAAAGGAGAATATCTGCTACGTAATACCGCAGTTCAAGCAGCAAAAGAACAATTCATAGAGTTATGAAATGTTAGCATTTGATTACTATAATACCTGACTCCAAAATTGGGCCCATGTAACGCAGTGGTTAGAGGTACCCTGCGTGGCTGAAATCTCACGTCCAACGTTGGCCAAACCTCCTAGTCCCACCAGGGTTGACAAAATGGTGCCCGACTTGTCTGGGAGGACAGCATACTTAGTCGAAAATTGTTAGCGCACGGCGAGTCATTGTAAAGGCCAAATGTGCATTGAAATCACCTTAGAAGATGCTTAATGAAGTTGCGAGCATGACGCACTCCTCGGGGATTTATCAGTGCCAAGAGATGTTTCAATATTTAACTTAGTAAGATTCTGTTAGATTTCTTAGCATTGTTGCCTTTTTTACCCCTGGCCCACGCAGTTATTGGTTTTTATAGATAAAACAGGCATACACCCGCTGTCAATCACATTGTGATGGGAACGTGGCTCCTCTCGTCGAAAATCAGCGATCGCATTTGCCATTCTGTTGCGAATGTGAAAGCACAGGTAGTCTCTTAATGATGCTAATTTTAACCCTTTGATGCTAATTCTCCCAAATTGGGAACAGTGGCCATCTTGTGGTTTTCTCGTCGAGCCCAGATTTTTTACTAGACTTTTGCTAGTCATTCGATAGCTGAAAAAACGGCGACTTTGATATTATCTCTGATATTAGAGTAAAATTACGTCTTGCACCTGGCGCAAATTTTTTAGCTCGACTACGGTCTGTGCTTGGCTTTAAGCAGATTTCCAACAACAGTTCCATAATCATTTGGTGCCATAAATTTTCATGATTCCAAAACTGTATTTGTATCTCAAAAAATCCTTATTGAGTAGTGCCGTGTAAGAGGAAAAGCCTACGTATCATTTTTGAAATAGTGAGCCGTTTGCCTAAACTTTATAGCAGGCTAGTTTGGACATATAAAATGACAACAATAAAAAGCATCTATAGAATGATAGAAAAAGTTTTTTTTTATATTACGAGATTTCGTCTACACGATGACGAGAGAACGATAAGCTTTTCATGCTTTTAGCGAAGCAACAGTAGAATTACTTTGCCGATTCTTGGCATATTTTTATTTTGAACTTTGCAGCGTTATAGAAGGGTGTTTCCAAAAAACGACATGTAGCGCAGTAGCCACATATTTAAGCTTTTGAATGATTACTAGCACTCTTATGAATAATTCTTGTCCAGCGGAAAATGTCGTTTCTTTATTTGTCGCCGTCTGACAGAAAAGAACCTATATATATATATATATGCGTATATCTGTATATATAATATATATATATGCGTATATCTGTATATATATATATATACATACATATATAACATGTATGTATATAAATGTACATATATGTATATGCATATACGTGCACATATATGTATATATGTATACATATGTATATATATCTATGTATATGTGTATGTATATGTATATGCACATGTGCACATGCATATTCGTATAAAAATCTTAAATGCGAAGAAAATTCTAAGCGTGAAACGTAAATTTCTTATCGCTCTCACAGAACCCTGTGAAAATTTAGTGAAATTTAAACCCAGTTTCGGATTTAACATGACCTCTGCTATCAAATTTTTGTTGAATGCTTGGTGAAAAGTCACCCACAGACCCTCGCCGAAAGAATAAATAAAACTGTGCAAAAATAGCTTCTTTCCGCTGCTATAGTCCGGCTTTTATAAGAATCAAATAATGCGCTATCTTCGTTATTTAAGCTATCGAATGAATACTAAAAGTCCAAGGAAATAGCTCTCTCCAGTGAAAAATGAGCGATCCCGAATGGGTTGATTTTTGTTGGCTCTTGTTTTTTGAGGAAAATTGCCATTGGGAATGTTAGCGTTCAACCAATCCCTAACACGTCTTCCTATCTCGGTTCAAACTACGTATTTTTTCGAATTCAAATTCTGAAAATAATTAGTATGCGTTCAGGGCAAGAAGCTCTACTCAGATGTCCTCAGTGTGTGAGATCATTCCACGGAAGCTGTCTCACAGTGGTATATCGAGATGAACAGCGGGAGAGTTCAAGTAGCGTAAGGAGTCATCTATTGTGTGAACCATGCATACTGGGTGAAATCCTTTGCACTGGGCAAGCCGTAATTGCCAAGTATCGGAAAACGTATGTCTTCCCCCTGTATTTTCATCTAAATGTGAACTATGTATCCAAAGAGGCTGAGTGATTTGCAAAACTTTTGGTACCAGGTGGATGTTGAACCCGCGTTTCAGTGATACCGAGGGCTCGTGCCAGCCAATGGTACCGCCGAGGCCACCGCTCTGACACCACTTTTTTCGATATTAGTCATCGGGACCGTCAACTGTTGAGCTTTTCCTTTGGTAGCCGAGAAACGATGGCCTTTGTGGTAGGATTAGTGGTAGCACGTGTCCCCGGTATGAGTGGAACACGACTCTCGTCTGGGATGTAGAGTTTTGCATATTACTCAGCGTCCTCGGATTTGTAATTATAGCATTATAATACTCTCACAAGCGCAGTAATACAGATGTAGATAGACTTGTAGAAGTATCTGCGTTGAATATTTTGCATATCAAAATCACAGCCATCTGTGTTAGATTGAGCGCAGAAGGAGCGATTGGTCTAGTTCCTACAGAAATTCTTTTCATTCTGTTCGTCTTATAGAGTGTTATGATGTTACAATTATGCATCCATTAGTGTTGTAAGATTTGAAAAACTTTGATCCTATCGGGCAGTCCAAGAAAGGATGTTGAAGCTGTGATTCACCTTTTCCGGAGAGCGCATGCTAACCGCTGCACTGTCGTTGCTCATGTCCTACTACTGCCCTTTCTTGGACACAAGGTGCTTGCCAGACCAAATTCTTTGACGGCTGATTGCTGACAGAATCGATACCTTGTTCTGCAAAATGAATGATATTAGAACGGGAGCCCAGGCGGTGCACTGGATAGCACGCACCCCCGGAAAGGGTAAAATTTGGGTTTGAGTCCTAGCTGAGGTTCAAACTTTTGCATATCTTTTTCCTGCATTTGGTTTTTTTCAAAAGCATCGATGTGAGAGGTGAAGTTTTGCTATTTGTATGAGTTTCAAAGCGTTCAGGTTCTATCCGGCTGTCGTCACGAAGTTGGAGGATTATCCGAAGCACTGCATGAAAATGTAGGTTTGGAATAAGATCTTAGCCATATCTCTTGTTTCGTTCATGTGTTTCTCTTCCCGATTATCATATGTAATCTACTATGGAGTTTTTTGTACATATATGCTTATATACATAGGTGATTTTTCGTTGTAAGGGGGCAAATAAAAAACCGATCTCAGTCGCTGGAGAAGAAGTTTTCATAGGAGTGATAGGAGGGTGAGTAGTCATTTGTAAGCTTAGATTTCCGGCTAGAATCCACGTGGCCGGTTTTTGAAAAAACCCTTTTGTGACGCTGTGAAATCAAAAATAAAACTATGTCTCACGCGGTTATTTATCGCAAGACAGAGCTCTTTCCATGGACTAATAGTAATCATTCGATAAGATAATCTTTGCTGGTTCCAACGGTGTATTTGTATCCTAAAAAACCAATTCTCTTCAACGCATTAGGTAAAATAGGTAGTCCGAAGAAGGAGATAAGTGCGTCTGAAACGAAAAAAATTATTCTTCTGTAACAGCGTCAAAAATTGTCTTTTTCAAAAGCTGTCCACAAAATGTTGTTGCCAGAAATCGAAGCTTTTGAACGAATACTAAAACTATGAAAAGTTTTTGTCCAGCGAATGATGTCGGAATTTCATTTATCCCTTTATGACCGAAAAGTACTAATATACACTTGTGCATATGCATGTATATTTACACATGCATAGACGTGCATATGTGCATACATTCATATGCACATGTGTATGTATACGTATATGTATCTACGTATAAATGCGTATATATGCATATATACATAAGCCTACACAACATTAGTATCTTTGTCGAAAACGCTGTATACTGTTTTGGCGACTTTGCCTTTCTTGGAACCGTTGAACTACTTATATGGCGACGAACACCGGCATGTTATCACTCACCATAAATAGTAAATATTATAAAAAATAGTATGAACTAGGTGTAGAATGGATCAGAGCTAAGTAAAGCTTTCGGCGATGATCATTTCCTGAGGGATGCGCTGAAAATTCGTCTTCATCAAAAATCGAGTGAGGTGATTGAATGCAAATCTGTCATTTACAATGATCTCGCAGAGGTTTAATGATCCATCAAATCAGTGCTGCTATCCTCCCAGAGAAGTCTAGTACCAGTTCACTGCCACCGGAGAGATGGAAGGCTTGGTGAGTTTTGAGAGCAGAATTGACCATCTACCGCGTGTGTGTCGCGGGTCACATCTAACCACTGTGCGACACAAGTCATTCATAGTTGACTGGATTGATATTTCATAAAATTGGTCACCTTCGTCTCGCAGATCGTCGAGTGACTGGAGCGAGCACCGGCAACTCTTCTGTTTTTCCCTGTCGCGTGCAATAGTAGTTCAGCAGGTACTCCATGTTTCGGAAATTCGCTGAGTATCATAAATTTCTTCTAGGTTTTTCGTGAATAAATCACCATCGGGTTGGTAGTCTTCCTGTGTAGCTCTTGATATCCCAAGAATTCCAATCGATAACTCCTCTCGCCCATCGGTTGTCGTTGAAGCGCAATACGTGTGCAGTCCACCTTATTTTTGATAGCCTGACGTCTAGAACGGAATCCTTACTTGTGATCGA